TATATCTATATCTATATCTATATCTATATCTATCTCATACTGGCCCCAAATCTTGTTTTAGATAGGTGATCAGAGACCACAGGAAATCAGGAAGGATAAAAAAAAAAAGGAGTTGCTGAGTCAGAATCAACTTGACAGCACCTAACAACAAAAAGACTTATGCACGTGTTCCGACTTACCTACAAATTCAACATAAAAAACACACTTAAGAACGGATTCCTTTGTAACCAGGAAACTGCCTGTAGTAGGAAAGCAATTGAAGTCACTTTGGGATATAGTGAAATTGAGACTTTTGAGGGACTTACAAAAATAAAACAGAAACTCACTGCCATCAAATCAATTCCGATTCATGGAGACCCCATTTGGGTTTCTGAGGAGGTAAATTTTTACGGAAGTAGATTGTCCAGTCTTCCTTCTGTGGAGTGGCTGGTGGGTTTGAACCGCCAACTTTCTGGTGCTCAAATGTGTTAGGCACTGTGCTACCAGAGTTCCTTATTTGGGGGACATCCATATAGAACGGTACTTCTGCTCCCTCAACCTGGAACCTTTTATTGCTGGATCTTCACATGGCTGACTTTTGTCATTTATCTCAAATAACACCTCCTTAAATAGACCTTCCTTGACCATTTTTTGCCCTGTCCAACATCACTCTCAATTACCCTCTTTTATTTTCTCTGTAGCCTTTTATCTGAAATCATCTTATTTGTTTCTTTGCTTGTTATTATTTATTTATTTGCTTCTTCGTATGTTACCCTGCCAGAATGTAAGCTCCATTAGTGCAGGATCCTCTTTTTCGGTCTTCACTATAGGATGAACATTTCCCCACTATTAATTGTGGTTTTTTTTTTTTTCTTTTTTGTTCTTTCTGCATCCTGAACTTATTTTTGTGGTATCATAAATTATTTGCAATGTTTAAAATTGATGCAGAAACTATAGTTAAACAAAAACTGCATTTTAGTTTGAGCCTTAACCTAAAGGCCAAAAAGCATTATTAAAAATATCTGTTGAAATGGCTTATACCCTTTTAAAAAAGTTTTTAAACTGATTATCTTTCTCATCACTGATTTCAGTGATTGACATTCCGTTTAAATGATACCCACTAGAGACTTGAGAGTGAGTACGTTTTTACAACTTCCTACTAAGAAAGCATAGTGATTTGTGAACACAATTGAGTATCATTGAACTATCCCCCCACTTCCTTCCCTTAAAAAGTACTGCAGACTTTTACACTTCAATAATCATCTCATTTTTCTTTTTACAGACTAAGAAAGCCTGAATTCGGTGAAAAACCAGAGAAGAGAAACTAAGAGGATAGTAGACAAGGTCTTTATGATTTGAGTAATGTAAGTTCTTTTCACTATTCTTGGACTGAATCCTGTGTTAGCTGACAAAGCTGTTTCTATGGAAGCAAACAGTCCAACCTCTTAGAATGTCTGAGGAATGCTGATCACTTAAAATGAGACTTCCCAGCTGCTGGTCAAAGGGCATTACTTGCAGAAGGGGAGAAATGATGAAAAGAGTTCTGGAGTTCTAGACACACATGTTTATGCATATGAAATGTATGTTTTATATTTACTTCTGCTTAAAAATTAGGAAAATCATGTGTAGGAAATTATCTTCCTGCTAACCTGTCGTGTTATGTAGTTCATACACAAATTGTTCTGCATTTTGGTACTGAGCATTCAGTAGGCCTGTACTCCTCAGGTTACTTTAGGACCCCAACCTCAATCATTTACACATCTCCAATGAAACTAATTCAGCTTCCATTTACATCCGCCACCCCACCCCTGGCTCCTGTAGCTAAATCACACAAGCAAAGCCCTTTCTCCATCACTATTTGAAGTTAGGAGCTCTGGTGATTCAGTGCCTAAGGCATTTGACTGCTAACCAGAAGGCTGGCGTTTCAAACCTACTAGTCAGTCCTCAGAAGGAAGATTGGGCAATCTATTTCCGTAGTGATACTGCCTTGGAAACCCAAGGAGGGGTCACTATTAGTCGGATCCGACTCAATAGCAGTGAGTTTGGAGTTTAGCTTGAAGTTAAGCGCACTGGTGGCACAGTGGTTAAAGTGCTCAGCTGTTAACCACAATGTCAGTGGTTTGAACCCATCAACTGCTCTGTGGGAGAAATATGTGGCAGTCTGTGTCTGTAAAGATTTACAGTTTTGGAAACCCTATGGGGAAGTTCTGTTCTGTCCTGTGGGGTTGTTAGGAGTTAGAATCAACTTGATAAAAGTGGGTTTGGGTTTTTTGGTTTAGTTTGAAGTTAGCATTGAAGGACCTTTGGCCTATCAACTTAAAATATTTGTTTTCTTGCCTTGTGGGCAGCATTAGAATTTCTTGTTATTTTGAGGGGAGGGCGTGGGGGCATGGACTCTGTTAAGTATTTGAAATGTGGACCTTTGAGGCGTTTGTTTGGACTGAGAAAGGATACATACTCTCAAGACCAATAACTTGTAACTCCATTATCTGCATCTTGTTGTTAGTTACTGTCATGTCGATTCCAACTTGGCAACCCCATGTATGCAGAGTAGAACTGCTCCATAGGATTTTCTAGGCTGATCTTTCAGAAGCCAATTGCCAGCCCTGTTATTATCTGCATAAAAGGAATAGTTTCCCACTAGCCATTTACCAGGTTTCTGAATTACCAGAAAACTTTAGTTTTGAGAAGTAGAGTGTAATTCATTTGAACGAGGACTTTTTCACTGTTTATAACTTATGTTGAAGGAACCCTGGTGGTGTAGTGGTTAAGGAGCCCAGCTGCTAACCGATAGGTCGGCAGTTTGACGGTGTGATTCCATAAAGATTTACAGCCTTGGACAGCGTATGGGGCAGTTCTGCTCTGTCCTATAGGGTCACCGTGAGTCGGAATTGACTCAGGGGCACTGGGTTTGGTTTTTGGTGAAGTGTACATCCTTTGGACTGGGACTCATTTACTGTTTGTTATATATATTGAATATATGTATATGAGCTAGAATATTCATGGATTACCTGCTTAGTGCTAAAACTATAGGATTCTAGAAGAACTTCTAATATGTTTAATTTTGGACGTAAGAATTTCTAGATCCTTGTAAGACATCTTGGTAGATAAACTAATGAGCAGGGATCCTCTTTCTGTAACTCTATTTCCTTCTTAGGGGTGAATGAATGCTCAGTTAAATTTATGTATAAGTCATTCTTTTTTCAAAATCTTTAATGACTATTATGCCTGGAGTGTTAGGATTTATATTTAAGACCTTTCATAAGCTATACCCAATTAAGTCTTCTAGCCATACCATCTACTACTCTCCTGTACAAGCTAACTAGTTAAACTTTCTTGTTTCTACTTTCCCATGTCTTTTTTCTTCCTGCCTTTAGTTCATATTACTCCTTCTTATTTCTTTATTTTGTCTTCATGGCCTCTCTTAGTCTGCATTCCTCATTCTGTGTAACAGGTGTATTCAGACCTACTTTTAGAGTTCTGATGAAGGTTAAATTAGTGAACACTTAACTGACTGTGTGAAGTGCTTGGAGTATTGTCTGGCACATAAAGAAATGCTCAGTGGTGCTGGCTGCAGTCAATTTTACTCCTGTTGCTGTTACTGCTACTGCTGCCTCCTCCTCTTCCTCCTGTTCATTTTATCCTCCTGTATGAATATAGATACCACGTTTTAATGATTTTCTGCCCTAAATATTTCTTGAATGTAACTTTTCTTCACTCTCACTGTCTTAGTTCAGGACCCTCTTTCTTACAGTTGCCTTTAGATTTTAGTCCATTGCCATCCTTCCGTCACTTCCACACTTCAGCCTGTACATTTTTTATAAAAGGTAATATAGTCATGTCATCTCCTGTTAAAATCCTTTAGCGATTCTTATTACTTTCAGGGTAAAGGTCAAAGTCTTTAGCTCTTACACGCTTCTTAGTTTAGCCCTTTGCTTGCCTGTCCAGTTTCATTGTTACTCACGTACTACATCCTCCCATGGTCCCCACCAGCTTTATTAAATTGAATTCAGCTTTCTGAAAGTGTCTTGCTCTCATACTTCTTTCTTTTGGTCCTTTGTTTCCCTCTGCCTGAAACATACCTTTTTCTACCTGGCCAGTTTTTTTTAAATGTAATTTTTAGTTGTTCTTTGAAATATAGCTCGAAGAAATGTATTCTTATATTTTGAGTGTTTCCTGTTACCCTTATCACAGACTAAATTTTAGAATCCTCTCCATGCATCCTCTGTAAATTTATGACATTTGAAGGTTTAGTTCAACAAATATTTTTTGTATATTTTTTATAGATCTTGTATTGTGTTATCCACTGGCAGTACAAAAATAAGACATGACCCCTGTCTTTGATGGATTTATTATCTAGTGAGGAGAGACCAACTGGGAAAGAATAATCTTTTATTTTCTTTACATTCTCTCCCAGTAGTCTGTGGATACTCCAAGGGAGATCAAATGGAATTTTAAGCAGATTAATGTCAAGTTACAGAAATTTTTTGCCGAGGAAAAGACTAGATTCAGATAGATAAGCATGAGAGTAGAGTAGTCCAAGCATGAGCACGCTGACCCTGATCACATGACCCACTCTGTGTTGCATGATTATAATTTCCTCCCCCATGATCTAGCATAGTTAATAAGGTTCTAGTCTGACAGTTTTTAAGCTGAGAGTTTTAATTTCAGATATATGATTTTTTTAGAGTAGCATGCATATTAAATAAAAAATACATTACTCATTCTTAACTTTGATTTTTAATATCCAGTAAATTTTGTAAATAGAGAAGATTGAGAGTTTTAACTTTCTGGGAGTGTGTACACTCCTAGATTTTTTTAATTAAAATTAAGCATAGCCCTACAGTAACTCCTGCACAAATTTCTGCTTGCTTGTAATGAAAACATTAAATTAGCTGAATATGTATCTGCATAAGCACCACATGAAGCTTAAAACTTGCTAAACATAAACGTAATATCTCTCATTCTAATGAAAAAGAAAGCAATCTAGTGGTAAAAGAAGGTACTTGTGAATAAATCATTATATTATAAAATAAAGGGAAAAACTAAGTTTGGATGGAAGTCAGAAGAGTCTACTAAAATTCACGTGAAAATGTAATTCTAGTGTTCATATAGCTTGCATCCTTTTTTTTTTTTTGGTTATTGGCCTAGTTGTTTTCTGGGTAATTTGTCTCTTCAGTGCCTGTTTTCGTTATGCCTCTAGATTTTTTTTTTTGAAAGAAGCATGGCTGGCATTAGGAATATTGTCTAAAAAAAATTACTTTTGTTTAGTTGGCATCGTTCTTTAACCAGTCTATTTATTGAAGTGATGCTTGACTCGAAGTAGGTTTATTATTGTAAATATTTTTGAAGTCTTGAGCAAAAGAAGATTAATTAGATTTAATGTGTGGGTTTACACACATATATAAACAATCTGTATTTATGGCTGAGAGATTGCTTGATGAAAAACCAGTGCCATCCAGTAAACTATTTTTCATGTCTAAAATATGTTGAAGGACTTTTTTTAAAATAAAAAAACCAAACTCACTCGTCGATTTGGTTCGACTCATAGTGACCCCTCCTTGGATTTCCAAGGCAGTATCTCTACAGAAGTAGATTACCTAGTCTTCCTTCTGAGGAGTGGCTGGTGGGTTTGAACCGCCAGCCTTCTGGTTAGCAGTCAGATGTGTGTTAGGCACTGTAGGGGAATCAAATTAATACTAAGAATTAATATACATATATATTTTTTAGTTTTAAAATTTGGCATATATTATCTCATTTAGAACACACAACAATATGATGAGTACATTTTTAAATGAGAAATTATTGAGGTTCTTTAGAGAGTTTAGCTGACTGGCCTCAAGTCATAAAGCTAGAGGAAGTAATAGACCTAGAGTTAAAAATCAGCTTTCTTGTCTCCAAGTCCAGTATATTCTTTTTGCTGTATAGTATGACTTTGGTTTATGACTTACTGAGTGGTAAGTCATTAAGTGAATCCTTGTAAAGAGTTAACCCCAGTTTTTTTTAGATTGTTAACCCAAGTAAGTATTCCCTTTCTCATTTAATGTATCCTACTTTAGCTGCTAATTAAAGTTTTTTGTTTGTTAAATATCTTCTTTATCTCATAAGCTCCTAAAGATGAATTGTTCCCCAAAATACTGTCATTGTCTCAAATGGGCCACCACATGATTTGATGTACCAAGTCAATTTATCTTCTTCATTGGTTTCTTTAGGAATTAACTAGGAAGTTATATCTCACATGTAATAGTCGAATGTAAAGTATGATGTTGAGAGAACTATATAAACATGAATTATTTTTATAACTTAAGCAACTTATTCTCTACCAGACTAGCACCCGAAGCTTTCTTAATTCCCGGCTTTGCTAAACTTTCCTAAGTGAATTACTTCTCCAGTATCATTTTAACACTATGCTTCAAATTCTTGGGAGATAGATTTTTTTTGAAATGCTTTGATTTCCTAGCCATTAAATGTAAAATGAAAGTATTAAACTCATGTAACAAAATAATACTATATACTTACTAGATATTTTCTTTATTATGTGAGACTGGAAATGAACTATGTAAAATTTGCTTTTATATTGTAATTCTTATACTTTTTTTTTTTCCCCTCATCTCTCCCCTTAGATTTCCTTCATGGATATTTTTGCATAGCATTATTATGTGAGAAGTTTCTGGTTGGTTTTTTTTTTTTTTTTGACGTAACATGGATTTTATACTACAGAATCAAGAGAATTGGCTTTATAGGAAAATTGATTTATAAAAAGTGGTACAGGTTTTTTATAGATAACCATGACAACATCCCATATGAATGGGCATGTTACAGAGGAATCAGACAGCGAAGTAAAAAATGTTGATCTTGCATCACCAGAGGAACATCAGAAGCACCGAGAGATGGCTGTTGACTGCCCTGGAGACTTGGGCACCAGGATGATGCCGGTACGTCGAAGCGCACAGTTGGAACGTATTCGGCAACAGCAAGAAGACATAAGGCGTAGGCGAGAGGAAGAAGGGAAAAAACAAGAACTTGACCTTAATTCTTCCATGAGACTTAAGAAACTAGCCCAAATTCCTCCAAAGACTGGAATAGATAATCCTATATTTGATACAGAAGAAGGAATTGTCTTAGAAAGTCCTCATTATGCTGTGAAAATACTAGGTAAGTAAAAACAGCAGAATGTTTTACTTTAGTTTGTCTGTGCCTTAACATAAATGTATGGGAAAGAAGAGTGATTTAAGAGAATGTAAGCCATGGCACATTCGAATTCTAGACCAGGATCAGTTCTTGCTGTGAGCTAGGTACAGTAAAAGCATGTGACTTAAATAAGTTCAGTCACTACAACATAGTTTTTAGATATAATCTTTGAATTAAAATTTTCTACATGTGACCTAATATTTAAAGCCTTGAAATTCATTGTTTAGATAAAACTCAACCTGAAAGCAGTTTTCATATTTTGAATTTCTAATTTCCTTAAAATTTGTAAAATATAGTAATTAAGTTAGTATGTATAGCTTAAAATCTATGTGATTTCTTAAATTAATGATTGGCAAGAAGAGAGGCTGGTGCTGTTCATATGGCATTGATGCATAAAATATGGCCCCCCAAAAATTCTTGTGATCAAATAAATTTTGAGAACATTGGGTTAAATAAGTTAAACAGCTTCTTATTACAGAACTTCTTGGGGCCTTTAGACGTAATTACGGGCATATGATTCTCTAAGAGAGGTTGATATCTAGGGCACATTGAACTTAGTGCCCCAGTCCTGCACACGCATAAGACTGCTCACTGAGTTGCAGTTAACCAAAAAGCCCACTGCCATTAAGGCGATTCCAACTCATAGCAACCCCCATTGGGTTTCTGAGACAGTAAATCTTTATGGAAGCAGATTGCCCAGACTTGCTTCTGTGGTCTGGCTGGTAAGTTTGAATCACCAACCTTCTGGTTAGCAGTGAGATGCCTTAAGCATTGTGCTACCAGAACTCCAAATTACAGTTAGGACTTGGTAAAATGTTTGCGAAATGCTAGGTTATACATTAATTTGCCCTGCCTTTAAAACCAAGCTAACTTAAATATTTTATTTCTTGGCAGTTTATTATTTATAGATGTGAAAAGAGAGATATTTCACTCTTCTGTGGAAGGAGAATTTTTGTTGTTTTGCCTGTAGGCATGTAAACATGTCCATTGAGTTGTGTACTAGGTGATTAGCAAACACTGTTGTACGTAAAACCTGCAATAATCCTGTTTACAGGCCACTATAATCTCCATTTTGGAGATGAAGAAATTGTAACTCAGAGTTAAATCACTTGTTTGTTACAGCACAGCTAGTAAGTGGTAGGGCCATGTTTGAATTTACCAGATCTGGCTGTACAGTTAGTGTACTGTGCAAAGCAGAGAGTTTGAGTAGGAACCGACAGCCAGCTGTGTTTCATGGGCTAGAGCTGTAATTACTTAGAGTGGAGCACTTTTTCCTAATCTGCCAGAGGTAGCATATATAGGCTGTATTTGTCCCTCACTAAGTCTCACTAAGTCATGTGGTTTCTATTGCATCTGTAATCATCAATTGCTTTTTTATAAATTCGTTAGGCATCCACATTTCTTTTTCTTTTTTTTAAAATAGTATTTTACTGTGTTTTAGGTGAAAGTTCACATAGCAAATTAGGTTCCCCTTTAACAATTTTCATACAGATTGTTCTGTGCCATCAGTTACAGTTTTTACGTGTCAGCATTCTTGTTATTTCCATTGAGCTAGCCTTCCTTTCCCTCCTTGCTTTCTCATCTTTGTTTTCAGGTAAATAATGTTGACTGTGGGGTCTCATATAGTTCACTGTTTAAGGGAACACATTACTCATGTATGACACTGTTTTTTCAGTTCAAAGGGTATCTTAGGGTGATAGTCTTGGGGAGTCCTCTAGTATATCTGTCCAGTAGGTCTGGCCTTTTTTTCAGTAATTTGAGTTTTGTTCTGCATTTTTCTTCCATTCTACTGGGACCCTATTGTGTCCCTGGTCAGGATGGTTGGTAGTGGTGGCCAGGCACTATCTAGTTCTTTTGGTCTCACAGGCAGCTGTGGTTCATGTGGGTTATTAGTCTCATGGACTAGTTTCTTCTTTGAGCCTTTGATTTCCTTCATTCTCTTTTGCACCATATGAGTAGAGACTAATAGTTGTATCTTCGATGGCTGTTTGTAAGACCCCAAATGCTACTCACCAAACTAGGATATAGATCATTATCTTTGTGGAGTATGTTATGCCATGACTAAGTCCCCCAGTGATCCCCCAAGACTATAGTCCCAAGCCTTTTAACCCAGTAAATAAATCTGTGAGTTGTTTGGATGTCTAGAAATCCTCCATAACTGTGCCTCCTGTGTGGTTTGTTATATATGTGGATATATATGCAGCACACACAACCATGTTTATACATATACCTACAGATAACACCTATATATGCATGTGTATTTACTCACATATGCCTTCCTATACACATGTATAAGGAGCTCTCATGGCACAGTGCCTAAGGCATTTGACTGCTAACCAGAAGGTTGGTGGTTCAAACCCACCTGCCATTCTGTGGAAGGAAGATGGGGCAATCTACTTCTGTAAAGATTTACTGCCTCGAAAACCCAATAGGGGTTGCTATGAGTCGGAATTGACTTGTGGCAGTGGAATTTTTTGTTGTTGTTGTTATACACATATATGCATCCATATTTACCTTTGTAACCACATACATATTTTTTGGTTGTTTTTACAAAATTGTGTATATGATAGCATTTACCCAAATTATCTCTTTTTCTTGTGTACTTCTTGTGTCTTTATTTACCCTGGTCAAGTTGTACACACTTCACCCGTATCTGGGATTGCTTTTGCCATCACCAAAAGTAACATGTGTCTACTACCTAGAAAGTGACTCCCCCTCAACTCTCTCCCACCCCTGGCAGCCCTCAAAAAAACTTTGCTTTCTGTGTGTATATCTGTTCTTAACTTTTTGTAGTGGTGGGACAATACAATATTTATCTTTTTGTGATTGGCTTATTTCACTCAGCATAAAGTCCTCCAGATTTATCCATGTTAAGTTTCATGGACGTCTCATTGTTCTTGATAGTTGCATAGTGTTCATTTTATATATGTACCACAATTTGCTTAGCCATTCCTATTGATGAGCACTTAAGTTATTTCTGTCTTTTTGCTGTTGTGCATAATGCTGCAGTGAATATAGGTGTACATATGTCTATTTGTGCCACTGCTCTTATATCTCTAGGGTGTGTACTGAGGATTGGTATTTTTAGATCATAAGGTATTTCTATTTCTAGCTTTTTGAAGAAGTGTCACACTGCTTTCCATAATGGTTGTACCATTTTACAATCCTACCAGCAGTGTATAAGAGTTCTAATCCCCCTTTCACATTGTCAGCATTTCTTGTTCTCTGGTTTTTAATAATTGCCATTTTTGCAGAGATGAGATAGTATCTCATTATAGTTTTGATGTATAGCTCTCTAATAGCTAATGAAAAGAGCTCTGGTGACATTGTGGTTAAAGCATTCACTTGTTAACCAACAGGTCAGCTCTTCGAAGCCACTACCTGTTCTGTGGCAGAAAATGAATCAGTCTGCTTCTGTAAAGATTCATAGTCTTGGAAACCCATTGGGCAGTTAGTTCTACACTGTCCTTTGGGGTCATTATGAGTTGGAATCGACTTGATGAAAGTGGGTTTGGTTTGGTTTTTTAATGGCTAATGATGGGAGCTCTGGTGGTGCAGTGGTTAAAGCATTCAGCTGCTAACCAAGTGTTGGTGGTTCAAACCCACCAGCTAGCCACTCTGAGGGAGAAAGAAGCAGTCTGCTTCTGTAAAGATTTACAGTCTTAGAAATTCTGTGGTACAGTTCTTCTCTGTCCTATAGGATCACTATGAGTTGGAATTGATCCAGTGAAAGTGAGGTGAATGGCTAACAGTCATGACCATCTTTTCATGTATTTGTAAGCTAGCTGAATGTTGTCTTTAGTGAAGTGTCTGTTCAAGCTCTTTGTCCATTTTTTGATTGAATTGTTTTTCTTTTTGTTGTTGAAGTTTTCTGTTTATTTTGGAGAATAAATTCTTATCAGATGTCCTTAACCAAAGACTACTTCCCAGTCTGTTGTTGTTAGGTGCCATTAAGTCGGCTCTGATTCATAAGGACCCTATGTTGTACTGTCTACCAGTACAACACAGGTCGTGTTCCATCCTCACAGTCAGTCCTTGCTACACTTGAGCCCATTGTTGCAGGCACTGTGTCAGTCCATCTTGTTGAGGGTCTTTCCCTTTTTTTGCTGACCCTCTACTTTACCGAGCATGATATCCTTTTCCAGGGAATAGTCCTTTCTGACAACATGACCAAAGTAGGTGAGATGAAGTCTGGCCATTCTTGCTTCCAAGGAACATTCTGGCTGCACTTGTTCTAGGACAGATTTGTTCATTCTTCTGGCAATCCATGGTATTTTCAGTATTATTCACTAGCACCGCAATTCAGAGGCATCAGTTCTTCTTTGGTCTTCCTTATTCACTGTCCAGTTTTCACATTCATATGAGGTGACTGAAAATACTATGGCTTGGGTTAGGCTCACCTTAGTTTTCAGAGTGACATCTTTGCTCCTTAACACTTTAAAGAGGTCTTTTGCAGCAGATGTGCCCAGTGCAATATGACATCTGATTTCTTGACTGCTGCTTCATGGGTGTTGTTCTAGTTACCTAGTGCTACTCTGACAAGAATATACCACAAATGGGATGGCCTTAACAAACAGGAGTTTATTCTCTCACAGTATGGAGGCTTTAAGTCCAAGTTCAAAGTGCCAGGCTCCAGGGGCTGGGTGAAAGCTCCTCAACCTTGGGGTCCAGCGCTGCCTCCTGCTCCCGGCCCACTGGAGCTAGAGGCGTTTCTTCACTCAGACAGCTGCTGGCTGCTGAAGCTGCCAAGCCCAAGGTTGACAAGTAAAATGGCACAGTCCCGATGTTACCAAACCACATGGCAGGCCATTAATTTAAGTCCATTGTAAGTTCTGAGGTAGCAGAGCATGGCAGGCTGCTAAATGGCGACACGGCTACATGCAGGGGCTAAGCGTGCCATAAGCTAGCTACTATCCCCAAGTCTTCTCCTTATATACGGGAAGCAGACCACATCCCAAAGGCAG